TGAGCACTTCTGGTGCTTGGTTAATTAATAACATTGAGGGCAGCTGATCCCAAGAGGGACAGCCTCACCAGTGCACAGGCCTGAGTCACAGATGGCCCAGTTGGCAACATGACCGTTCACTTTTGGGAAAGAAATATGACACAGCCTTTCGGACTGATTCAGAAGAGCCAATAGGATATGGAAGTGGAGGTACCCAGCCACCAGAAGGGGGCAGCACCTTATCTGGACAAACCGTTGGAAGGCCTTTGGGCTAACCAATGGGGTGGCAGAATATTTGGAAGATAGAACTTGGACAGTATAATTTTAAAAAAAAACAGTTTTTGAAATGAAATGGGGGCTACTTTGGGCAGGTGCTGATGTATGGACAGCCATATCGCATCACCTTAGAGCTTGAATTGCCAGAGTCTCCTGTGAATCAAGATTTGGGCATGTTTTTGGTCACTGTTTCATGCTACACCAGAGGTGGCCGAATCATCTCCACCTCTTCCCGTTCGGTAAGTATTCATGGCCTGTCTGGGAAGTTGTGAAGAATGATGGCAGAGTCAGAATATCTGGGTAGGGCTTCAGGAAAAAATCTTGGCACGAGGTCAGAGGACACGTCAGGATAAGGGAGGAGAAATCTGCTTACCAAGACAAACATTTTCCAAACTCCCTAGCACATCATGAGCACATCCAGCTTTGGAGTAGACGTGAAGAGTGGAGCAGCTCTCAGAAAACAGATCTAGAGCCATGCGGATAGATCCTCACCAGAAACATGCCAGCCACGGAACATCAGACAACTCATGAGGCATAAAGTAGTATAAAATGGGTACCATAGTAACTGCCTCGATCAGGACTGTAGGAGGAAATGTGAATGCAGTTCTTAACTCACACATGGTAGATGTTTAATCAACATTGGGATCTCACTGTTGCATGAACTGTCAGTAGAACCTCATCATGAATGTCTGTCTTGGGGGAAAGCAGATGATGTGCTGGGGTTTGGATCCCATCCTGGATGACAGAACTGTTTTGGGGAAAGGCAGAGACAATGTTACACTTCACCTGGAAAGGTGTCTTAGAGGAGGGGCCTTTGCTGTACTGGAATGGAGAAATGTGGTCAGTCATGGGCAGAGGTTGAGTAGGTGGAATGGTTTAGTGGACACAGGGGAATAGGAAGTGGAGGTGAGGAGCAGGGAGCCTGAGGGAGGAGCAGCCTGCATGGACCGCTCAGGGATAGGGGAAAGCTGTGGGAACCTGGATACCTGACCCCAATTTCTGCCTCCTGGCCCTGGCAGGTGATGCTGCATTACCGCTCAGACCTGCTCCAGATGCTTGACACGCTGGTCTTCTCTAGCCTCCTTCTGTTTGGCTTTGCTGAGCAGAAGCAGCTCCTGGAGGTGGAACTCTATGCGGACTATAGAGAGAACTCGGTGAGTGAGGTGAAGGCTGACCAGGAGACCGCCCTCTTGTCAGCCCAGAATTGTATTCCAGGAGCCTCTGGTTTCAGAGCAGGCTTCAGATGGGGCTGGTAGGATCAAGAGTGACAGTATCAAGACCCTGGCTTGATGCTGCCCTCTCTCCACCCCTCTTAGTATGTGCCAACAACTGGAGCAATTATTGAGATCCACAGCAAGCGTATCCAGATGTATGGAGCCTACCTTCGCATCCATGCCCATTTCACTGGGCTCAGGTGAGGAACCACTGAAATAGACCTTGACAGCTCTCCTGGATGCTGTCCTTAAATGAAGAGTTTCCCAAGTAAAGGTAATAGGTTAACAGAGCAGCATTGGTTTGAGTTTTTCAAAGGCCAGAGATTCTTGCCCTTGCTGCACATTAGCATATTGGCTCCCAGGGAAACGTCAAAAATACCTGTATGAGTCTGGCATTGTGGTTCATGCCTAAATCCCAGCTATTTGGGAGGCTGAGATAGGAAGATTACAAGTTAAAGGTAAGCCTGAGCAACATAGTAAAAGTCCCATTTCAAAAATAAGGTAAACTATACATACATGCTACTGTCTTGATTCATTTGCTTAGCAGAATTGGCCAAAATCAAGGCCATTGCCTGTGGCCCTGCAATGCTGAGACTACCCAGAGTCCTTAGTCTTTATTAGTGCTTGATGCAGCAAGGTCTGATAATTGGGAGGGGGTGGGCAGGGAACATGGAGGCAGAGGCTAGCTCTAACCAAACTCAGTTGAGTTGCTTGGGAAATTAGAAAGTTGATGCTGTTTGGTAATGGCTGCTCCACTCCTGTTGCTATTTCCTGCCTCAGGTACCTGCTATACAACTTCCCGATGACCTGCGCCTTCATAGGTGTTGCCAGCAACTTTACCTTCCTCAGCGTCATTGTGCTCTTCAGCTACATGCAGTGGGTGTGGGGGGGCATCTGGCCCCGACATCGCTTCTCTTTGCAGGTTGCAAGGGGCAGTGACCCCTTTTTCTTCCTTTGAGGATGTTTATTTGGGTGGGCAGGGACATCTCTGGTGAGGAAAGTCAGTACTCACTGCTCAGTCCTTTCTCTTCTACAGGTTAATATCCGAAAAAGAGAGACTTCCCAGAAGGAAGGCCAACGAAGGATCTCTACTCATCAGCCTGGTAAAGGTGTTGTTTGAGGGGCTGTTAGGGAGGTGAGGTGGTTAGGCAAGCAGAGCTGCCTGCCTCCAGTGTGAGGCATAAAAGCACTCACATGCTGAGCTAAGGGTGGAAGAGGAGGCTGAAGGAGGTGACGTAGGCACTGCCCTCTAGGCACAGCCACCCTACCCATCCTGTCCTCTACTTATTTTGGAGGAGCAGGGCCTGAAGGACAGGAGGAGTCAACTCAACTGTCAGATGTGACAGAAGATGGTGAGAGCCCTGAAGATCCCTCAGGGACAGGTATGGTGCAGCAGTAATCCCTCCTTCCTGACATCTCAGCCCTGTCCTTCAGCATCTGGGTCTGACTCAGCCCTACTCTTGGCCACAGAGGGTCAGCTGTCTGAGGAGGAGAAACCAGACCAGCAGCCCCTGAGTGGAGAGGAGGAGCTGGAGCGGGAGGCCAGTGATGGTGAGGGGCACCCTGGAATGCCGCAGTCCGGCTGGGCAAAATAACCGGGAGGTGACAAGCAACTTGAAGGTTGAAGCGGGAACTGCTTTATTGTAGGGAAACTCAGCGGGAACTGAGCGGGAACTCAAGGTAGCGGGCACCCAAGGTAGCGGGAGCTGCTTTATTGCAGAACAGCAGAGGTATATATACCTAACTGATTACACACAGCTTGACTCAATTAGCATCATCTAGATACAGCAGTCAGCCAATAAGGAATCCCCACCATCCTAATGGCTTGGTGGGGATTCCTTATTGGAGTGGTTTGCTTCACAAACCACTCCTCCTGGCAAACTGCCAGGCGCCATCTTGACTTGTTTTGCGGTCCCCAACACTGGAATGCATGGGCTGGATGGAGTAGGACCCTGGGTTAATTTGATATCGCATTTGAGATTTTTTGGTTTTTCCTTTTTTGGTTTTTCCTGGCCCAGGTTCAGGCTCCTGGGAAGATGCTGCTCTGCTGACTGACGCCAACCTGCCTGCTTCTGCCTCTGCTTCTGCCCCTGCCCCTGCGTCTGCCCCTGCCCCTGAGACTCTGGGCAGCTCTGAGCCCTCTATGGGTGCTCTGAGACAGCGCCCCACCTGCTCCAGCTCCTAAAGAGGACAGATTCCTCACATTCCAGCACTTTCCCACCTGGGATCTCCCCTTGTGTTCCCTTCAATAAACTATTTTGTGCCAGCTGCTTCCTGACTCTTTGAAGTAGATTTAGGCCCATTTGAAACCCTGTGTCCAGCCAGGCATGGAGACATAGCCTGTAGATCAGCAACTCTAACTCTGAGGCAGAAGGATCACAAGTTCAAGGCCAGCCTCAGCAACTTACAGAGACCCTGTTCAAAAAATAAAGCCAGGCGCAGTGGCGCACACCTGTAATCCCAGTGGCTTGGGAGGCTGAGACAGGAGGATCATGGTTCAAAGCCAGTCTCAGCAATGGTGAGGCATTAAGCAACTCAGTGAGACCCTGTCTCTAAATAAAATACAAGATAGGGCTGAGGATGTGGCTCAGTGTTTGAGTGCCCCTGAGTTCAATCCCCAGTACCAAAAAATTAAAATTAAAAAAAGATAGGACATTTTATCACTGAGCTATATCCCTGAGTTCAGTCTCCCCTACCCAAAGAAAGAAGGCCAGCCATGCGTGCCCCAGGCACCTTCAACTCTGCCCCTTAAAGGAACTCTGCCCCACAGGAAGACCTGCAGACCTGGACTGTTTCAGGCGCAGTTGTTTCCACAGTCTAAGAAGTACAAGGAGAAAATTTATCCTGGCCACTAGCAGGCTTCCCGCTTCATCCATGTGACTTGTCTCATGGAAGGGGGATAATTTAGGGCGGGTCTGAAGAGCTAGAATACATCATTCTGGCCCCTACACCCCTCCCATCTCTGTCCATTGGGAGACAGAAGACAGGAAATGACTGCCATACATGTGGTATGATTTTTACCAAAACAGCGTTTTGTAACCCAGGCCCCATGCTGTCCACAGCTGTTTTCCTCTCTTATACCAGCCAGGTGGCCCTCTCCAATATTTCCCTCCCCATCCCTTCACATGACTTCAGCCTTTGGATTCTCAGCTCCTGGCCACTTTCCACATTCCACTCCTCTGTCAGAACCCAGGCATCCTGAGCTCCAGCTGAAACTGCTGTGCATGGCTTTCCCCACCCTGGCCCCGTGACTCAGGCCCTCTGAGCGGACCAGCCCTCTTCTTGGCACTCAGTGGGGAGGGGAGTGGAGAAGGGGGCCAGGTAGTGACATCAGAGTTGAAGGGTACAAAAGCTTTCAGCCAAAAGAAAATTGAAGATACAACCTGACAGTGCAGGCAGCGCGGCCTACTATCCTCAGGACTCCTCAACCTGATAGCCCCAGACATCTGGTTGCAGATTCCCACTCCCTCAAGGTCTCCCCGCTAGTGAGGGGCTGCTGTGGGCCAGAGCGATCAGGTGGGGTCCTGGACTCCTTGGACAGGATTCACACAGATAACAGGTGGGGAATGAAGAGTCCAGGATCCTGGTTTCCTCCCCCGGTTTTGTCTTTTCTCACTTTGTCTTCCTGTTGGGTTTTTGCATGTCTTGCTGACTGATCCTCGGTTTACTTAGATCTTTTCTCTGGGTGGCAGCTGGGAATTCTACCACCTTTCTTGGCTGAGTAAATCCTTTCCCCTCCTTCTCCTCCCAGCATTTTGTTTATTCATTAACTTTCTAGCACTTCGAATGTTGCTGCTCACATGTGTTTCTCTGATATATATCAGACCATAGCTTCATTTTGTCCAAAATCAAACATGTAACTTGGAACATTTGTCAAGAGAAGCTGGTCTTCTTCTTACCTCTTTTATCATCTGGGTTCCCTGTTGTGTTTGGGTTCTATCCAGGCAGGGGCCCTAAGGCACGGATGACAGCCTTTACCTATTCACCCTTTCCCTTCCAGACTCCATGCTGGGCTCTCTCTGCCTTCTGTGGCTCCTAGCCCTGACCTTGTCGGTTCCCAAAGCTCAGCCCTTGACTCCTCAAGACTTCGAGGAAGAGGAGGAAGATGAGACGGTGAGCACACCTTTCCTGGCTGTCCCCTGTGACTACGACCGTTGCCGCCACCTGCAGGTGCCCTGCAATGAGTTGCAGAAGGCCAGGCCGGTGGCCTGCCTGTGCCCGGGGCTGTCCAGCCCTGCCCGGCCTCCGGACCCGCCACGCCTAGGAGAAGTGAGCATTGTGGCCGAAGAGGGCCGCGCCGAGGTCCACTGGTGTGCCCCCTCCTCCCCGGTCCACCACTACCGGCTGCTGCTTTGGGAAGGCAGCGGGGCTCCGCAGAAGGGCCCCCTACTCAACACTACGGTCCGCAGAGCAGAACTGAAGGGACTTAAGCCTGGGGGCGCTTATGTGGTTTGCGTGGTGGCTGGTAATGAGGCCGGGGAGAGCCGCGTGTCTCAGGCAGGTGGGGAGGACCTCGAGGAGGTATCCTTCCCGGCCTTCGGGCCCTGCGGCCGGCTCACCGTGCCACCCAGACCGGTCACCCTAATCCACGCGGCCGTGGGGGTGGGCACAGCCCTGGCTCTGCTAAGCTGCGTCGCCCTGATCTGGCACTTCTGCCTCCGCGAGCGCTGGGGCTGCCCGCGCCGCGCAGCCACCGCCCAAGCCGCAGGGGCGCTCTGATGAGGGTCTGGGGGACTTCCGCGCAGCCCAGCCCCACATGGAGCACCAGCTGGCTCCCAGAAGGGCCAGCCCGCTGCCGCCTGGCGCCAGACAACTGGGCCGCAGCTGGGGGTCTCTGAACTGAGAGTTTATTTAGGTCAGGGCTTGCCACTTTGTTCCTGCCTGAAAGCTAGACAAGTGGAGAGGGTCAGAGAGTTATTAAGTAGGTTTTGTATGTTTAAGAGTATAACATTGAGGGGACTGGGGACATAACTCAGTTGGTAGAGTGCTTGTCTCACATGCACAAGGCCCTGGGTTCAGTCCCCAGCACCCCCCCCCCCCCCAAAAAAAAAAAAAAAAAAGTATAACATTGAGGATATTATGTAGGTACTTATCTAGTCATTTAAAATATAACCATTAAAAAATGTAAAACCCATTCTTAGCTCATAGGTCTTATGGGTCTTATATGTCAGTGAGCAGGCCAGATTTGCCCTTTGGCTGCCGTAAGTCAGCCCCTGTCATACACCCTCAAAGGGTTCTGCTCTTGGGCTTGGTGGCCTGGACAATTTAACAAGGCTCTGTTTTAAACTAAAAAATAAAAAAAAGGGACTGGGGAAGTAGCTCAGTGGTAGAATACCCCTGGGTTCAATCCTCAGAAGGTGGGGGGGGGGGGGGGGACAAAAAGACACTGCCACTTTGGCACTTTGCATAGCCTAAGTGGCATTCTAGAATAAGCTTCTGCAGGATAAGATTTTCTGATTGGAGCCACAGTCTTCTTTGACCTTTCCTCAAGTTACCCGATGAGCATATCTGGATCAGAGTCTGTTTCTGAGGAGGGTGGAGATTAAGGACTGAGATGGGATAACAGAAGAGAAGGAAGCCCCGAGCCTTTGTTGGGCACAAGTTCATTAGTGCTCTTGCTAATTAAAATAAGACAAATCAACAGTAATATCAAGGAATCCCCCATTTGTGTTTATTGTATACCAACTGTGATAACATTAAAGGAAATTTAAAAGAAATTGTCACTTTTCATGATCCCTTCAATTCTCTGTGTAGATATCTATTTTTCATAGTCATATACATACTTTCTATTTATTTATTTATTGGTAATGGGGGTTGAATCCAGGGCACTTAACTACTGAGCCGCATCCCCAGCCCTTTTAATTTTTATTTTGAGACAGGGCCTGCTAAATTGCTTAGGGTCTCACTAAATTGCTGAGGCTGCCTTGAACTTGTGATCCTCTTGCCTCAGCCTCCCAAGCCACTGGGATTACAGGCATGCCTCAGGCAATCACATCTTGAATTTATCTTTAAATTAAGTGAATGTAGCACCTATAATTCCAGCTACCATAAGCTGAGGTGAAAAGATCACAAGTTTGAGGCCAGCCTCTGCAATTTAGGGAAGGCTTGTCTCAAAAAAGGAGGGGCGGGGGGATAGGGTTGAGTAGCTCAGTGGCAGAACACTTGCCTAGCATGTGAGTAGCACTGGGTTCAAGTCTCAGTACCACATAAATAAATAAAATAAAGGTACTATGTCCATCTGCAACTAAAAAAATATTTTAAAAAGGGTGGGGAAAGCTCAGTTGGTAGAGTGCTTGCCTTGCATGTACAAAGCCCTGGGTTCAATCACCAGCACCACAATAAATAAGTAAATAAATGAAATGAAATAAATTAAAAAGTGTTGGGAATGTAGGTCAGTTGAAGAGCACCTTTGAGTTTAATCCCCAGAACTGGAAAGAAAGAAAGAAAGGAAAGAAAGAAAAAAGAAAGCTGGGTATAGAAAAGCCTGTTTTGTGTTGCTACATAGTATAAACCTCACCTTTACTGGTTTTACAACTCCTCCCCCTCAACCCAGGAAGAGCTGGGGATGGAACCCAGAGCCTTGTGCATGCTAGGCAAGCAGTCTACCACTGTTATACCCTGGCCCTAACTTTTTATTATTATTATTTTTTTTTTTTTAAAGAAAGAATTTTAATATTTATTTTTTAGTTTTCGGCAGACACAATATCCTTGTTTGTATGTGGTGCTGAGGATCGAACCTGGGCTGCACGCATGCCAGGCGAGCGCGCTACCGCTTGAGCCACATCCCCAGCCCCATGGCCCTAACTTTTTAAAAATTTAATTGTAAAACAAACACATACAAGTTTCAAGTAATACTGACACATACAAAGTGAAACTTCTCTTCTTCCTTAATTGCCCTTGCTGGGGGTATACTTCAGTGCTAGAGCACTTGCCTAGTATGAAAGAGGCCCTGGGTTAGATCCCCATGTAAAAAAAAAAATACATACATAAAAAGCCATTAGGCTGGGAATATAGCTCAGTCATAGAGTGCTTGCCTAGCATGCACAAGGCTTTTGGTTTGATGTGCATCAAAAGACATAATTGCCCTTAGTAGAGCAGTTTTTTTGTTTTGTTTTGTTTTGGGTACTGGGAATTGAACCCAAGGTACTTAAACACTGAGCTACATCCCCAGCCCTTTTAAATATTTTATTTAGAGACAGGGTCTTGCTGAGTGGCTTAGGGCCTGGATAAGTTGTTGATACTGGCTTTGAACTAACAATCCTCCTGCCTCAGCCTCCTGAGCTAATAGGATTACAGGAAGGTGCCACCCCTCCCAGAAGCAGAGCAGTTCTTTACAAAGTACAAATATTTTGTTTTTCACTCATTATTCAGTCATAGACAATGCTGAACATTGGCAAATCATAACCTCCTTATATGTTAAAGGCCTCATGATTTCCTACAAAAGAATGTACTTTAAAGAACTTTAGTCATCACTCTTTGTTGGAACATTTAAATTTTCTTCAGTGTGGTTTTAAGGACATCCTTGTTTGTGTATCCTCACCTGTTTATTTAAGTACCCAGGAGAAGGCATTCACCTCTGGAAGTAATTGAAATAGGCAATACTCTAAAATTTGATCATTTTTAAAATGATTAGACCATTAGAATAAATTTATTTTTTTTTGAGAGAGAGAGAATTTTTTAATATTTATTTTTAGTTTTCGGCGGACACAACAGCTTTGTTTCTATGTGATGCTGAGGATCGAACCTGGGCTGCATGCATGCCAGAGGAGTGTGCTACCACTTGAGCCACATCCCCAGCCCCCATTAGAATAAATTTAGATTGTTATCTAGAACACATGTGGCATTACATTGTAGTGATTACCTTGTGACTTTTTATTTAATGACTATTTCCTCAGCAATCATTCACTTATGAATGAGGACACCCACTCTATTATTAGTAAAGACATGCTTTTCATGCATTCTCACTTAATCCTTACCACGAACATTCCAAGAGATAGTATCACCTTTTCAAAGATGAGAGATTTGAAGTCCTAAAGGGTTTGAAATTACAACTAAGGAGTTCAGATAGGATTCCTGCTTAAATTGCCCAACTCAAAAGCTCTTCATTTTACCATAGAGAGGGGCAACAAAGCATACAGGTTTAATGAAACACAATGCATGGTAGAATTCTAGCTCTGCTACTTTCTACTGCCTTTATGATCTTAGATGAATTATCTCATCTTTCTGTGCCTGTTTCCTATGACTAATAATAATACAGAATAGGGACTGTTATGATGATTAAATATGAGTTAATCAACTAAGCCTCAAGTACATGTAACTGAAAGCTCGGTCATTGTCCTTGAAACCAATACAATAATGAAGACAAGGTCTTGAGAAAAAGGAAAAAGCTTTATTGCTTTGCTAGCAAAGGAGAAACACAGGGGACTCCTGTCCCAAAGGCTGTGATTCTGCTCATTTGCAGGAACAGGAGGCTTTTATTTCTTTTCTTTTCTTTTTTTTTTTTTTAATATTTATTTTTTAGTTGTAGTAGGATACAATACCCAGGGCCTTGCATATACTAGGTGAGAGCTTTACTGCTGAGCCCCAGCCCCAGCCTGAGAGGAGGCTTTTATAGAGGTGATTCAGAGAAAATGAGATCAGGGAGGAGAGAACAGGGAGGAGAAGATCAGGGAAAAGAAGATCAGGGAAGAGGTCAGGAAGGGGAAGATTAGGGAAAAGAAGATCAAGAAGATTGGGGAGGAAAAGTTTAAGGAAAAGAATATCAGGGAAGATCAGGGAAAAGAAGATCAGAGAGGCGGTCAGGAAGGAGAAGGTTAGGGAAAAGAAGATTGGGAAAAAGAAAAAAAAAACATGTAAGTTTCAAAGCCACAAGAGATAGTCAAAGTATCAAGTGAACCCTGTTACATACATATATTTTCCATATGAGTAACTTTTTTTTTTGATGGACCTTTATTTTTTATTTATATGTGGTTCTGAGAACTGAACCCAGTGCCTCACACGCTAGGCAAGTGCTCTACCACTGAGCTACAACCCTGTCAGTCAATATGAGTAACTTATTATTATTATAATTATTATTATTATTCTACCTCCTAAATAAACATATTTTGTAAATTTTATTTTTGAGTACTAGAGATTTAGTCCAGAGGAGCTTTACCACAGAGCTCAATCCCCCAGTCTTTTTTTTTTTTTTTTTAAGAGAGAGAGAGGTTTTTTTTTTAATATTTATTTTTTAGTTTCCGGCAGACACAACATCTTTGTTTGTATGTGGTGCTGAGGATCCAACCCTGGCCACACGCATGCCAGGAGAGCGCGCTACCGCTTGAGCCACATCCCCAGCCCCAATCCCCCAGTCTTTTTAATTTTTTTTTTTTTTTTGAGACAGGGTCTCACTCAGTTTCTTGGGGGTGGGGAGAGTGTCTCACAAAATTGCTGAGGCTCGCCTTGAACTTGCGGGCCGGAGTCTTGAAAAACAACTAGAAGATAACTAAGTGGAGAGAAGAGGCCAAACATCTCAGGCAGAGGAGCTGGTAGGTGCAAAGGCCAAAATGAGGTGTAGGGCCTGTTTCACAACATGCACAGATTATCCTCAATTTGAAGGAAATGAAACTATGCAGTAACTACCATAATTTATGCCATACCGTCTTGCGAGGCACCTACATAGCTGTCATCATTATGTCCATTTTATAGATGGGGCTCTTAAAACTAAAACATGGGGGCAA